GTGTGTGTGTGTGTGTGTGTGTGTGTGTGTGTGTTTGATAAGTTCTAACCAGAACTGGATTGATTTGAAAAGATAACCAGTGGTAGACGTCCAGCCAATGATTACTTCCTGAGAATTTCAGCTCACTGTGAGGTAATGCGGGACACCTGGGAACGAGTCTCACCTGTAGGCGTGCTGCTGCGGAAGGAGGAGCAGGGGGTGATGGGCGGGGTGACCGGTGGGGTGAGGTTTCCACTGGCGTGGCGAGGTGGAGTGGAAACATGGCTGCGGGAAAGATTTCCGGTCAGAGACAGAGACAGCTTGGGCTGCACCTTTTTCTTCACCACGGCCTCGTGTTCTCGTCTTGCTTCATCTGTCCAAAACCTGGTATTTGTTTTTAAAAGAATACAAAATTACTTCATTTTTGAAGAAAATAAAAAGTTCAGCGATCACCTCCTAATGTTTGTAGGCTTGCTACTGTAGATTTAATGCTCGGAAAAAAAATAACACGCCAAAAGGGTTTATAGGGGATAGTAAAGTCTTTGATAAATGGGGTTTAATAAAACTCAAATGTTAACACAGACATTGTTAACGCAATAGTGGAATTAACAAATTAACCGATGGCCACATCAAGATGTGTCTGTGAAGGCAGGGAGACGGTGGCAGACTCTGACGCTTTGACTTTTAAAACGTCTGTTTGAGCCTCATATGAAAGGCAAATGGGATGAAGTTCGAAGAGTGAAAAACCTCAGCTGCACAACGCCGCAGAAATTCATTTAAGCAATGCACCAGATGACAAATGAAACTGTCAGCAAAACCTCTTAAAGGACCACATTACACTTCCTCTGACACGAGAGCAATAAATCCTGAATGTAAAAAACTTCAGGTCGGTCAAATGTTTTGAATAAATAGGATCTAGCTTTTTAGTTTTGAAAAGAAAAAGTTCTGTCTTTACCTGTTGATATAACTGAGGGCAACATACGTCGGCTGCTGCTGCTCCTGCTTCTCCAGAAGACAAGGGTCTGAATCTAAGCAGACAGAGACAGAAACATTAGAAGGAACTGGAAAATAAAATAAAATAAAATAAAATGATTGTTACCTACAGAAACACTAACAATAACCTACTTTAATAAATTTTATGCTTTCCCTTTCTTACTTTTCCTTTCTAAGATTCAACAGTGAGCCCTTGTGAGTTTGATTTAGTCCATAAAATGCCAACATGTTAATGAAATGTCCCACATATTCATTCAAAAAAGCTATTTCGGTGATGAAGTGTCACATTTATGCCCATACGCTCTGTTTGCCTACATTATTACATACTTTGTGCACACTTAATATGCTGCATACTTGATTGAATCGACTGATGTGACAGACAACAGGCAGAATTAAACTTTATTTCTCTWAACTGAGGTCATTTAAGAGACAATCTACGACAGGTAGGATATTGATCGTTCACAAGCTTTCCACAGAATCTAGCTTTAACAGAGCTAAACTATATATATA